GAGAGAGAGAGAGACGCGTACAATCCGAGAGAACGTGAAAGAGGTGAACTCGAGAGAGAAAGAGAAAAGGGTTACACGGACTGGAGGGGAGGGGAGGGGAGGGAGGGGGAAGCGGACGCGTGGGAGAATTCGGATTCGTCGGGGTGGTGCTCAACCTGACACAGGTGAGCGGAAGTCGAGGGCCGAGGTCTGGCTATCTTCGAGTTCCCCAGTGAATTCCATTAGCTAGAATAGAAAATTTGATCTCCTCGCGACGATTATACCGATGCCGATGTTGATTTTAGAACGCGCCTCTCCCGGGTTTCTCCCTTTTTTCTTTCCTTTTTTTTTTTTATTCTAGTTTTGCGCGTTTCTTTACTCGATGCTGAGAGACGGAACGATTTCGACAGAGATTCGCGTCGGTAGAAGGATCATTTGAGGATCATCGAGTTGATCGATGTGTAGAATGAATTCGTTTGACCGGGATGACAGTCGTGACTCGATAGATCGATAGATCGTACAGCTTGGATCCATCGTGTACACGTTGATCTATTAATGCGCGGCAATATGATGATAATATGATAATTAATGTATAATGTAGCGAGCAACGGTGTCGAAACGGTGTTATTGAAAAGAATGCAATAAACCATTCCGTTTTCGATCTGTGAGACACGGCCATGGAATATAAATGAATGCGCAAAGCGGACACGTAATAAATTATCAGCTGAATCGCTAAATGGATATTTCAACCAACACTCGGTTACATCCACCGAATATTCTGTTTCTAAATCATACATGCAAATTTTGCGCTAAGCATATCTCGGAATGTATTTTTACAGATATTTTTGCCCAGATTTTTTTGCCAATATTCCATAAATTCCGATCTGATCGTAAACTCATTCGGTGAGAATATTACACCGCATTAATGAGAATTGATCAATTAATAATTTCTGGAAGAAGTAAATATTGAAGGGAAGATTGCGCCTGTACTCTCCCGTATCTAAATTTTATTATTCCGTGTTTTTATAATTTCAGGAGCATTTTTCCTTTCTCCTCCCTTGCCGCGTTCCGTTCTCTCCTTTAATTTCCGCCGAAATTTCGCGGCGGCGCGCCTCGGACGAAGAAACGCACGCGGCGGCGACTTTCGACCTCGGCGAAATTGCCGCGCGCGACTCGTTTCGCGGCAAAGGCTGCCGCGGCAATTCCGAGACCGTCCGCCGCCGAAATTGAATCAATTAGGAGACAGCGGCTTTTTTTTATCGTCGCATGATTTATGACGTCGTTGTCGTGGGCGACGCCCCGTGGGTTATCGCGAATTATTGCGCTGCTACCATCCGGATTGTGCATCGCCATTATCTACGATTACGACATCGGAGCTGTTGAACGCGGTCCAATTAAAAGTCCGACGAGTTGTATCGACGGAATAATTACGCGTCTATTACAAAAATACGGGTCAAATCCCGAATCGATGATATAACCGACCATTACGTAAATCTTTGGAAATTCGTTACGTAATTCTCCGCGAGAGTGTCAATTAACGCTGGGTAAAAGGCGATTCCCGTACGGATTCGCCACTCCGAATTTCTCGTCTCGCATTTTTAAGCGAGGAGAACATTTCCCTTTCTGTATGAATAATTTCTGTAATTAAATTCTATAAAATCCTGATGGGCGATAAATATGCTCCGTCGACGGAGAGAATTAGAGACGTAGACATCGAGAGCGAAGAGAGACGGAATTTTTACGAAAAAAAAATAATAATAATAATTTAGATTCCCCATGTCCGATTCGCTGCGAACGTTTGAAAGAAATTGAACGTGAAATTGCGAATTGCGATTTTCACAACTAAATATCGCAACGTTTAAAAATGTATGACGAATATGCTTGGCGACGCTCGTGATTGACGTGCAATTTGTCGTTTCGCGTCGAACTTTTGCGAAAGCTCCGGATTCGGACGAGCGGGAAATTTTGGCCGTTTCACCAATTTTCGCTCGAATCGTTCGTTATCGCGAGAGGAACGCGACGGAGAAAATGAGGAAACGCGCGCGCGCGGGCGAAACGCGTACACATCTGGGATCGCGGTTTGCTGGAGCGCGGAGAATCGCATAAACAATCGAGGTGCAACGAGAGGAGAGAGGAGAGACACGTCGGAGATATGAGGCATAGAATTACGGAAGTGGTACAAGTTAGCCCGAGGGATATTGTACCGACGACGGCTTAATCAATGAGCTGTCACGTGTTTCTACGGTCAGGCAAGTAGAACGTGCGATTCTTCTCGGAAACGAACCAGTTCAGTGACTGCTAATTGAAAGTGTAAACAGAATTATGCGAAACGCGGACGAAATGCTAATGAGATGACAGAAGACTTTCTTTCTCTTTCCCTCTCTGTCTCTCTTACTTTTACACTCCCTCTTGTTATTTCTACGTTAAAATCGCATTTTAATTCCTTACTCTATCAGTTACAAGTCAATTCTATTAAATCGATTAATTTATTAGTGAAAGTTCTACTTTAAATTAAATTCTACCAATTGTTGATTTAGATCTCGTGATATACCTAGTGTCGCAAAGTCGATAAGAATAATGATTAATAATTAAAATAACTAAAAATTTCGCTTTACGTAACGCTTCGTAATGTCTTCGTAAAATTATGACAAGTTTCTTCTTCTTCTTTACGAATTATATTCGTAAGTCGCAAGTAATCGCACGAGATTTCCACATATAGTCGAAGATGAGAGTAGAAAAACCTCACGCTGAGATTCATCGTGGCGAAAAGCGAGAAAAGTGAACTTCGGGCGAAATCGTCGTCCGACTGCTGGCACACTCTCTCGATGAAGAAGAAGCAGAGGAAGAAAGCACGACGGGGGTTGGAAGGACGGAGGGGAAGCAAAAAGGAGGATTTGGCGTGAACCGCTGGCCAAACGGCGCCAGCCAACAATCTTTTTTCTTACGTTTCGCAGCAACGTCGGCTTCCTCTCCTCCTCCTTTTCTCTCGTCTCTTTTTCTTTTGGTGGCCTTTTTTCTCTCTTTTCTCGATTATACCTACCCATTATACCTTCTTCACTTGGTTTCGCTCTCGTTGCGTTCCGTCGCCTTGTGTTGAGTTGAATTTCGTCTTCCGAACATCGACTCGAGCGGTTTCACAGATTTTTAAGAGACACGTCAAATTATCTTACAAAAGGAAAAATATTTCATTGCACGAGAAAGAAATTGATATTAATTGTACATATTTTGTGAAAATATGTATTATAATACAAATGTGAAATTATAAAAAATTAATACAGATAAAGAAATAAAGAGGATTAAATTCGAATTAAGGCCGAATTCGAGTAAAGGTGAGGACAATTAATAATGAAAAAATTAATCATATTTTAAGATGAACATTTTGAATGTTACTTAATTCTCATCAATATGATAAAAAATTGAGAAAAAAACTCTTTGAACATAAAAGTAAAAATACAACATATCCAAAGTTCAACGAATATTATATTAAAGTATCAGTGGTAAAATTTTTTTATACTCGAATTTGATTGTTAATTCATCATAATGTTAAAGAATATAATTAAAAGAAAAGTAAACATTTCTTAAATTATTTCTTGAAAAGGAAGCAAGATCTTTCTTGAGCTTTGTTTTCGCGGTTAAAAGTTGTATAGTTATTTGTGTAATTTATTTATCAATTATCTTCTCATGTTTTCTTCTCACAAGCGACTCTTAATTCGCTTACATATTCAAGAGCATCCTGTATAAACCCATAAAGAAATGTGTATATCCCGCATCTGCCGTCAGATTTAATAACGAGATATAGATAATTATATCTGAGATGCAGAGCACACACCTCTGAAACCTGAAAGCTACCATAATAAAATTGTAACAGAGCCATTCGGCGTATCAATGTCGATAAACGCTCGACGCATCAACATGGTGTTTAACTTCTCTGCTTTGCAAAAAATACCTGGTCGAGAGAAAAACATAGACAGTTATCGACGAAGAGGGAACGAGTGCGGTTGCAAATCAGGTTTTTCTCGCGGAGATTACATACCGGATATGAAGCGTCTGGAAAGACGAGGTGCGAAAATTAAGAAAAGCTTCCTGCTGTAGGTTGTAATCTTGTATACTTCTAACTCCTGATCTCTATCATACTCATTTTCTCACGGAAGGATTAAATTTAGAAATTTTGAATGTCCACACGAAGATTTTTAAATGGCAATGGTTTAAAAGTACACGCTTCTTTTTTACTCTATTATCTGCTGTCAATTGAAATCTTTCAATTTACATAACACCGGTATAAATCACCTTTTTTTCTTCTCCTTTTTGCCCATAATCTTCTATAAATCTGTTACGGTTGCTTTCACAGATCTCCATCGATTAAGTCAACCAAAACCAGCCAAGGTACATTTGAATTTTTTAATGAACCAATATTACGCCTTGATCAATTAATCGTGATTTATCATCTACCGCCCACCGTCCGCTCGCCGTACGTGAAAGTTTCTCTTTCTTTCTACCGCATCGGTTATCGTTTCTGTTCCCGCTCTCAGCAGGATCAACTCAATCCGATCGTGATACAAATTTATGCAAAGCATCGTCGCGAGACTCTCCGCATTTCTCACATCGATGCACGCGCGCGCACACACACACACACACGCGCACACACACACACACACGCGCGCGCGCGCGCACGCAGCATGTAGGCGAGGTTCAGTCGGGGCTCGGATTTCAATTGCTCATTAGTGAAGACGTTAGAACGAAATACGTAAGATACTACATGGCGGTTTCGTGATCCAGAAGTTGAAACAGGTTTGGCACCCGTGCGCGTCAGGGTTTCTCAACCATCTTCCTCCTCGACCACAGCTGTTAATGTCGGAGCTGTAAGCGTGCAATTGAGGAACGATTAGCCGGATGGCCGCATGTGTAATTTCGAAACGCTCCGCGACAGGTACGTGAATGATGAGCCAGGAAAATTTATATAGTGATCCACGAAGAACAGCAGGTTGACTTCATTGCCGGCTAATTGGCCGCAAATTAATTCTATATTAAGGCACGCAGATGCGCGTCTTGGGGAGAAAGAGAAAGAACTACGCGCGAGAGAAGCTGCCGAGGCAATAAATCAATCTGGTATTTTCCTCGACAGTATTTGCATATTTTCAATTCCACTCGCCGTGGTTTTGTTTACGCGGGGGTTTGTCGAAAGTCGCACCGAAGTCTTCGGTGCAACGAAAAGCGGCGGTCCTACCTCAAGTACGAATCAGAAATGCAACCCTCGAAGTGTACTTTAATTACGTATAGTGTTTACTTTCGCAAATTACGAAAGGATTATGAATTAATTGGCAATTACCGATAGCAAACAGGGCGACTATTACATCGCGCGTGACGCACATGTTAATACCCAGAACGCAGAAGTGGATGCATCGCTTATAATGCATTGCCGTGATAAACAATTAATTGGGGCAAATTACGTTTGCGTAAATTACGTAACTGGCTCGCTATTTGATTAACATAATGGAATAAAGGAGCAACACGCGGCGGTGACCGCGCACTCTAACTTTCATGCTAACAATGTTATAACTACATATCACTGTTTTTCCACGCGGAAGTTCCCATAACGCGAAACTGCATGGTGTAAACTCTTTAATCGTCGAAAGTTTAATTTTCTCGCATGCATTCGTTATAAATTCTATTATTACGCATACCTTCCGCGCAAACCGCCCGTCCGCGTGAATATGCTCGCTAATTAAATTACAAATTACTCCGTAAAAAAATTTCGCGCGTGTCATCGCGACTCCCTAATTAAGATCATTATGATCATACTCAAGACGATCGAAGCGAAGGGGTTAGACAGCCGCAGACGGTTTCGTAACTCGCGTCGCTCCCTCGAACCGCGAAAATTGCGCGCGCCGCAAAGTCGATTAAATCCACCGTGAGTGCAAAATGATACATAATTTATTTCTTCCATTGTTGCAGGTGAGTACCGAGGCGAGATCCAAATCCAAACCACCAATCAACACCGCCGCCGCCGCCACCGTCGCCGCCACCGCCTGCGGCTGACACGCGATTACACTTCCCCTTTTCCCTCAGAAACTCGTCGAGTGAGTACAAAGCGGTCCTAGAGTCACGTGCAAATAGCGACGTTCTACGTCTACGTCCGCGAGTAATCTACGCGGACTATCTCCTTTCGCGTAATTCACGCTGACAGCGCATAATCTGCACAGATAACGCTCCCGGTTTTTTCACTTCTTCTTCCTCTCGTTTCCGAACTGGACTTCATAGGAGGAAAGTAAATTTGATTCGTGACTCTAATTTCCTTGACTCTGCGATCGATAGAATGTTCTAGTACTCTAAGTTATTACCACGCCTTTTTCTGTCTAAAGTAAAAAATGTAAAAGTTTGGCTTTTTGTACAGCCTGTAGTTGTATATTTTTTTCATGATGCCAAGAATTTCTAATTAATAATATTAATTTAATATCTTGTATAGGCAAATATTGTAAATGTTTGCCTATGCAAGATATTAAATTATTAATATCTTGTAATATAAATACTATTAATATCTTGTATAGGCAAACATTGTAAATGTTTGCCTATACAAGATATTGAAATATTAAATCACATCTTGCATTTCTATTAATTAAATTAATTTCAATTTCTATTTAACTTCTTGTCTAGTACTAAAAATTAGAAAAAAAAAAAAGAGTAAATTAAGTCGAGATTAAAGTTAATTTACGTTGGTAGAAACGAATATTATTCATTTTTCACGACGTATAATTTAAAATTTTTATTACAGCACACGCGATATTATATACAAGAGAACCTTTAATAGAAAACATGCGAAAATATATACAAATTAATTTAATTACAATCTACATGAAAAAATAAAATACGTCACATTTCCAACGTCATGTAACCGATTTATCGGGACAAATCGGACGATGGGCAATTTTGTAATCTAACGAAGATACAAAGCTCTCTTCCGAAAAAAGAATCGCTAAATTCTATAAATCTTTTAAATCACGTCTGTGCGGTTATTTCGGGAGTCGAGTCGGCGAAGCGAACGAGTAGAATGACGATGTATACACGACATAGGCACAATGTACGACTCTTTCTCTCTCTCTCTCTCT